AAAGCAAATTAAAATGCAAATCTGATTATGTACCCACTCAATGCCAACCTTCCCACTGAAGTGATGATCAGACCTATTAATAAATAGCTGGCACAGCTTCCACCCCTGCACTCATCTGACCCTGCTGGCTTCACCTGTCATGGGTCCCCTGACTCTCTGCAGCCCAGCTACATTGATCTTTCCGCTGTTGGACTAAGTCATGGAAGTCTCACTGCTGCACTTCCAGACTTATTGCCCAACATTTTCTGCCTTTTTATTAGTCAATTCCTTTTCTTCCTTTAAATTGCATTGTAGTTATCACTTCTTCAGAAAATTGTTTTCAGATCTCCCAGCAGGAGGAATGCTACCACTGTACCTCCTTTTATCAAATCCATAAGAATTATAATTTTACATATGAAGAAACTTCTAAAAGATAAATGGAAAATGGAATTAAAGTACTAGCTTATTTTGGTGTGAAAATTTGAAATCCTTGCATAATTTTCTCATAAAGCGTAGTACACTTCACCTATAAGCTTTTTGAAGACCCCACATATATGTAGTTACTGAAGTCATCTCTGTCACCTCTGGTAGCTTTTGAGCAACCTCAGAGAAGAAACTATGCCTGGCGTCTGTTCTCAGTGCCTGAAATAGAGTGAATTCTCAAATAGCCTACTGAATGAATATACAAACAATTGAATTGAAGTGATAAAGGCTCAATGAGGGACCAGTAGTTGGCTTAATGGCTATGTTGCTGGACTCCTATGTAGCCAACTGTGGTTCAAGTCCTGGACCTGGCAGCTTAAACTCACGCTGGGCACATTTGCATGCGTGCCCAAGATCCCGAGAGGAGAATAGAGGATAAGAGATCACGGTGTGGCCATCCCCCCTGAGGGAGGGGATTTTTCACTTTTTGTCTTTCTGTCTCTGTCTTTCGGGTGAGCACACATGCCCTATAGCAAAAACCTCTCCAAAATAAAAAGAAGAGAAAGGCTCAATGAACAAATTAATAAACATGCCTAGAGCTAACCTGACATTCCTTGGTCAGGCCTATTGTTGGGTCAGTGAGTTTGTTTGTTTTCTGTTTAGAGCAGAGCTACCACTCAACTGCTTGGAAAAATTAATGCTCTCATGTATGACTTATGTGGCAAGAATAGGGTGAAGTCAGAAGATTTGGGAATGTGCCAGAAGTGTAAGGGCAGATGGCATTCATAGGGGACAGACTAATGGTGCCTTATTTTTCACTTGAATAACTAATACATTAACATACAGATTCTTATAAAGTTCCAGTAATACCCCAAGTGAAGAAATCTCCCATTACCTTCCACTTCACTGCCTCAAATATTTATGATTAACAATCGGGTGTGTGTTCTTATGGCCATAACCTCTGGATTTACATTGTGTTTGCACATATCTGTCTTGTGTGTTTATATCTGTCTTCTTCTTTCCCCTCAGTTTTTATTTTCTTTCAAATATAGTATCATATTATGTATTATTCTATGACTTTTTTAAAACCTAGCCAGCCATGCGTCTTGAAGATGTTTTACTATTTTATTTTGAAGTCCCCACAGAGAGGTCTCATAAAGTTAATGGAGAAACGGAATGAAAGTACAATTTATTGGGTGAAAAATTTTGAAGTTCATGCATAGTTTTTTTCATAATGAATATTTTTCCTTAGTATAACTTTTCTTTTTTTTAAGAATTATTTTATTTAATCTTATTATTTATTTAATTTTGACCAGAGAGGGACAGAGCAAGAGAAAGAGAGAGAGAGAATGTGAGAAAGCAAGCCATCAGGTCTGGGACTCAAACCATGTAGGAGTCCAGTGACCTTAACCACCATGCCATCTGCCAGCCCTATCCTTTCATTTTAAAAATAAAATATTTCAGATATTTAAAAAAAGGTGCTGGAATCAGCAGGTGGCCTCGAGGTTAAGGTGGCTATATGCCGCATGGATGACTGTGCAGTTTGAGTCCTGGTCCTGGCAGTTTAAAAAACATGCTGAATGTATGTGTGTGTGTGTGTGCATGTATGCAACTACTCCTCTAGTTTCATTGTTTACCAAACCAGTGGTGTTTTATGATTTTTACATGTATGTGGATTCTCTCTCATCCTGTTTAACATTTGTATAACATCTCAATGTATCAAAGTGCCATGATTTCATCACTTACAGATTAGTGGAAGCTTATACTATTTCTAAGTGTTTATTTATTTATTTATTTACAAACAATATAGCAACACATACCTTTCTACATGCATCTTTGGAAATCTAAGCAAGTGTTGGAGTATGTTCCCAGAATAGCTATGTGGAAAACATGAATTCAGAATGGAGGAGAAGGGATTGCAGCATGGCCATCCCCCCCCGGGGGGTGATTTCTTGTTTCTGTCTCTCTGTCTCTGTCTTTCTGGCGAGTGCATGCACCCTATAGTAAAAACCTCTCTAAAAAATAAAAAAAAAATACTGCCAAGTTAGCATTCTAAAAGCTTTGCTATGGTGTCCATCCACAACCAGTTTTGAGAATGCCCTTTGAGTATATCTGTATCAACTCAAAAGTCTACCAGTTTACTGTTTTTCTGATCTGACAAGTAAAAATTGTATCATGTTCTTTTAAGTCGCATATTCCTAACTACTGGCAAATGTGTGTATCTTTAGGTAAGTTTTATGATAATTTGTAAAAAAAGAGTGACTTGCCAATACATATTTTGTGCCACATGCTCTATGAGAACAGGGACATATTTCTCTCATTCTCTACTATAGCCTCAAGACTAAGTATGGTAAATATATAAGGAATATTGACTAGTTAATTAACTGATTGTTTAATTGATGACTAGATCCTCATTTATACGTTAAAAAAATGGAAAAGGATACGAGAAACCTGAACTAGAAATAACCAGTGAACGAAATAAGTATCATATTGAACAAAGTAAATGGTGCTAAGAATGGTGAAGAACCCTGAAATTTTGAGGAAGAAGAACAAACAATTCCAGTGAGTTTTGAAAAAGACATTGGAACAGGAGAGGACAGACTTGTGACCTCTGTTGGATATAGTATACATAAAGTCTGGTGGTAAAAATAGAGTGATTTTCAAGAAGACATTGAAGTATCCAAAAGCAGCACATTTGCCAAAAAAGGATATAAAAGCAGGCAGTTATTAGAGCAGGTGGTATAATTATATTTCTGAGAGAGGCTACAATGGCATCATTCATGGCTTAAATTATTTAAATGCATATTTATTGAGTACTTACTATGTGCCATGAAAACCAACAGAGCCTGTGTTTATGGCCTGATAATACTGGAGGGAGACAGTTAATAGATCCTAAAACATGAAGGAACTTATAATATGTGTGATAAATACTGCAAAGGAAAATAAAGCATACAGGGGACCAGCACATAGCATGGTGGTGAAGTCACTGAACTCCCACGTGGTTGATGGCAGTTTGAGTCCTTGACCTAGAGGCTTGAAACAGGCCCAGTGCATGTGGGTGCATGTCCAAGATCCCAAGAGGAGAATGGAGGAGAAGAGATTGTCGTGGGGGGACATCCCCTGGGGAGATAATTTCTCCCTTTCTGTCTCTCCAGCTAATGCAAGTGCCCTATAGTGCCCTATAGTGCCCTATAGTAAACATCTCTCAAAAAAAAAAAAAAAAAAAAAAAAAAAGGAAAAGGAAAAAGAAAATAAAACAGTACAGGAAATCTGAAAATATCTAGGTGTGCTACATTAGTTGGGATGGTCAGGAAAACCCTCTTTAATGAGGATACCTTTGAGCAGAGACCTAACTGAAGGCAAGAAGGGAACCCAGTGGCTATTTGAGCATGAGTGTTCCAGGAAGAGAATGTAACAGTTGCACAGGTCACAGTGCATTTGACATATTGGAAAACTAGTGAGGAGACTGTTGGGGCTGGAACAGAGTAAGAAGAGGCAGCTGGTGCCAGATTCCATGTGCTCTTAGAGGTCATGATAGGAACTTGGGATATTTGGCAAGAGCTGGGAAGTCACAAAGAATCTTGAGTAGGAAACACACATCATGTCCTTCAGGTGTCAGAGATGTAACTTTGGCTTTTTTTTTTTTTTTTTTTTTTTTGAGAGGTTTTTGCTATAGGGCGCGTGCGCTCGCCAGACAGACAGAGAGAGACAGAGAGACAGAAAGCAGGAAATCACCCCCCAGGGGGGATGGCCACGCCGCAATCCCTTCTCCTCCATTCTCCTCTCGGGATCTTGGGCACGCACGCACACGCGCCCGGTGTGAGTTTAAGCCACCGGGTCCGGGACTCGAACCGCGGTCGACTACGTGGGAGGCCAGCGACATAGCCATTACGCTAACTGCTGGTCCCAGTAACTTTGGCTTTTGTGTAGAGAGTAAGTCGTAAGGATTGGGGGTTGAAGATATGAGTTTATTGGGGGGATAACTTTGTAAGAAACAAGTTAGAGATAATGGTGGTTTGGACTAATGTCAGTGCTGCTGCTGCTGAGACGAGGTCAGCTTCAGAAAACCATCATACACCACTAAAGGTTCGTCAAACGGGAGAGGGATTTTGCAAAATGTATGGTTAACAGACACATGACTGCATGATAACAAGTGAAATGAGCTTTAGGATAGGATAGCACACTGGTGACAATTTAATATATATTTACCAATAACAGCAGAGCAAATTTTGTAAGTACATAATACAAAGCAATCATGTTGGAAATTGTAAATATGTCTATTTCTTTGATTTTTTATATTCTTTGAAGTCACACTGTACCCTACAAAGATGTATAAATATATGCAAATCAGCAATTACAGTGAACATTTTAAAATAAAATAAAATGATAAAAGTTATTCTTTGTAACAATTTCAGGTGGATGAACAAAAACTAGGAGAGGATTTGTTTCTTTAAGCTTTCCAGCTTATATTATAGCTACATTTACCATTTAAAACGTTTTTTGTTTTTTACCATAGGCTTGTGTACTCACCTGAAAGAGACAGAGAGAGACATCCCCTAGTGGGGATGATCATGCCACAGTCCCTTCTCCGTCATTCTCCTCTTGGGATTTTGGACATGCATGCACATGCGCCAGGTGTGATTTTCAAGCTGCTGGGTCCAGGCCTTGAACTGTGGTCAGTCATGTGGGAGTCCAGCACTTTAAACACCAGTCCACCTGCTGGCCCTACAATTTAAAACTTTTAATGCAGGTGCGTAAATTATAATAGTAAGTGTAATAATTGGTGGGAGAGACAATACTTGCAAGTTTAATGTACTTATCAAGCAATTTTGTAAGCAAAACCAGCTTGTATTTTTAAAATGAACTTTTATGCATTTGGAGTGTAATTATACATTTGATATGAAAAATTGGGGAGAGGGACCATCAGTTAGCATAATGGTTATGTTGCTGGACTCCCACGTAGTCGACTGTGGTTTGAGTCCCAGACCCGGTGGCTTAAACTCACACCGAGCACGTGTGCATGCATACTCAAGATCCTGAGAGAACAGAGGAGAAGGGATATTTGGGATATTTGGATGACCGTCCTCCCTGGGGGGTGATTTCTCACTTTCTCTCTGTCTCTCTCTGTCTTTCTGGTGAGCACATGCACCCTATAGCAAAAAACTTCTCAAAAAAAAAAAAAATAGGGGAGAGATAGAAAAGTATAAAGAAATCATGTAAATTTTTCCAGGATAAACTTATCTAAAAATAATTATGTTGGATATATGTAACTTTAATATAGGAGTTATATGTAATATAGCTATGTAACTATGTGTAAATATTAACCTATACACATATATATATGCATGCATATATAAATATATGTATATGTGTATATGACATATATATACCAGACTTCATTTGAATTTTACTTTTTGCATTCAGGTGTTAAGAAATGATATATTTCTCTTTTCTTTTTTGTGATAGTGTGTGCCCATACATGAGAGAGAGAGAGAGAGAAGAGAGAAGCGTCTTCACACTATCGACAGGGTCTTGTACCACAGTCCACATGTCTCCAGCCCTCCAATTAATCAGGATCCGGGCACCTGTGCTTGGCCTGTTTCCAGGCTGACCCTGGAATCCAAACCCACAGTCATTTATCTGAATTCCAGCCCTGTAGGGCACTTGAATTACCACTTCACCCACAGCAGCTGGGTCAGCATATTTCTTTTAATCTCAGTATTGGTTAACTTATCTATGAATCCTTGAGCTGGCTCTCAAGGGAAAATTCAATCTCAAATAGTAATACTCTGTGAACCCTTTGCTCTTTCTGGGCCAAGGTGGACCTTTTGATTTTCAGGCCAAGCTGGCCACTTCTACCTCTACTAGGTCTCTGGAAGGCAGGAGACTGGGCTGTTTTGATGTCAAGCTTGACAGTAAGGGTCTTCGATCTTCCAGTTGGTCTCTGAGGGCATTGTGAGGGAGTGTGCTGTTCTTTATTGCTATTCTTGGAATCTACAAGGCATAGCTTTACTAACCTCTTTCCTTCCCTAGTCAGCTACTTCTGACTGTAGGTTAGGTGATTTTGCTCTGGTGCCAGAAACGTCTACTTTCAGCCTTACAATCTCAAAAACCCCATAGCCAAAGTTACTGAGAACTCGACACAGATCTTAGTTATCTGCTTGGGAAGATAACCACTTATTTCTTTTAGTCTTTTAGGATTTTAAGAAAATGGTCACATGATAATCACTCAATAGTGTTTTTTTTTTTTTTCTGGACAGTTATACACAAATACATATTTTTATAGAAAACTAAGCTTATGCTTTATTGTTTCATACCTATGTCTAGTGTCGAACAGTATTTATGAAAACTTTTCCATTATTAAATATCTTTTAAAACTAAATTTCAATGACTGCAAATTATTTATGTCACTAATACCCAAATGTAGACATTTAGGTTGTTTCTAATTTTCCCAGTTATAAGCAACATAGTTATGAGTAATAAAGTACATAAATCTTTGTGAACAGCTCTAATGATTTATTTTTTTAGGATACATTTTTAGAAGTGGAATATTTGGAGCGTGATGTTTTTAAGGCTTTTTAACATTTGTCACAAGCATTGTCTGGATATGCATTTATGTATTATTATACTGTTCTTAGGTGTACTGGGTCAGAATGCCACAGCTGACATTTTTAAATGAGCTTTATATATACTGAATGTCTGCACTCTGTGACAGAAACTGAAAGATTGGAAGATATAAAAGCGTGGAGAACAATTGCAGATACTAGATGCAGTGTGGGAGAAGGGTGGGAAATGGGGGAGGGTGAAGGAAGAGAATCAAGGAGAAAAATAAAGAAGCAAAACATTTAAGGAACACAAAAATGGAAGATTATCTGTTGATGATAATGTGTATGATAATATCTTTAGCTGGACTAATATACAGTGTATTCATGCTAGAAAAATTCATTTTACAATCTGTAATGATATGCATATAATGACTTATTTTAATATAAAATAAATTAAAATAAAGAAATAAATGAGCTAATGTCATTCGATCCTGTCTTTGGGTCTAGAGATGCCTGGTAGGATGGTACAGGAGGAGTGAGTAGAGGGTTTGACCCAGGCAGAGAATCTGGAGTTTAATCTATCCGTCCTTGGGTAATTCCACTGTCATTCTCTGCCTGCCCAATACTCCCCAACCTTCTCTCATGGATTGTGTGTGGTGGGCCATGTACACTTGTTGATGATAAGCTTGTATACAGAGCCTACTCTCCCAAAGATACTCCCTACTCCTCTTAAGCTTTTTATGGGAGATCTACATGCCCTCAGATCCTTACCTCTTTCATTTGTATACCACTTTTTATTTATTAGAGGCTTTTTTTTTTTCTGTAGGGCATATACACTCACCAGAGAAACAAAGAAAGACATAAAAACAGAAAGTGAGAAATCACTTACCCCTCCCCCCCCATGAGGGGTGGCCATGCCACAATCCCTTTTCCTCCATTTTCCTCTCAGGATTCTGGATACACATGCACATGCACTCAGTGTGTTTTAGGCTGTCGGGTTCAGGACTTGAACCATGATTGACTACATGGGAGTTCAGCAATGTAACCATTACACCATCTGCTGGTTCCTGTATACTACCTTTTAAAGTCCCTTTTCACTCCAATGAGCTTTCAGCATTTTTTTTTTTCTGTTCTATTACATTTGTTTTTCTTCCAATTACAGCTGGAAAAACTCCAGTATATTCTTACTCACCATCTCTTTTCTCTGGACACTATTTATACTTGTCATTTTAACAGCCCCCAGCCAATTTACAACATGCTGTCATGATGATCAGTCATCAGTCAAGCTGGGTATCTTGCTATACTGAGCTGGAGCACCTGTCCCAATGCAAATGCTGTTGTGTATATTTGGAATGAACAGAAAAGGTAAATTGTAATAGCTAGTGCTCATAGGGCATATACTACATGCCAGATGATATTCTATATATTTTAGATATATTTTTTAAATTCTCACAATGATTACTAGAAAGCAGACTTAGAAATGTTAGCTTTCAGAGTACAACCTGAGAAAGGCTTCTGATATTTTCTGGTGAAATTAGTTAACCCTGTAGAGATTTATATATGATGTCAACAACTCTAAGTCATCTAACCCAAAGAGGTGATCAGTGGGCTTAATGCATGTGATTCAGGGAATTTAGACATAGGATTAAATAGAACTATTGAGATGAAGAAAGACAAAAAAAGCACCTTTTTATTGATTACTAGAGTTTAACTTCTTCCAGGAGGGTTAATTTATACATCTTTTTACTTGTTTAATAAGTTTTGTTGTGCTGGGCACTGTTGATACAATAATGAATAAGAAAGCAGGCCAAGAGATGGCATGGAGGCGAAAGTGCTGAATTCCCACATGGCCTACCATGGTTTGAGTCCCAGACCCATGGCTTGAAAATCATGACAGGCATAAGTGCACATGTGCCCAAAATCCCAAGAGAAGAATGGAGGAGAAGAGATTCTAGTGTGGCCATTCCCCCAGGGGGTGATTTCCCACTTTCCCCCTCTTCTTCTCTTTCTCTGGCGAGTGCACATACCCTATGCTATAAACCTCGTAAAAAGAATAGATTAAGAAAATGGTTTGGGGCAGATCTTTACATGAATGATTATAGTGTAATAATTATGATATGATATGACTACATGGGGTGCTATAGAATTATATAGGAATAAGATAGTATTGAGGTAGAGGATGTCTTCCAAAAGAATAAAATGTTTAAACAGACTACCCAAGGACATACAAGAGCTTGGCAGGTAAAGAAGAGAAAAAAGAAGAGATTTGACATGTATGTCCCATCTCCTTGAATAGGAATTTGGGTGCTTCTCTGAGGTAGAGTTAATCAGGGAACAGTGTTGGAAATAAAGTGAGAGAGTACATAGGGACCAGGTTAAACCAGGACAAGACATGGGATTTTACCAAAAGTAATGGGAAAACCTTACAGGATTTTGAACAAGAGTGAGGAACTAGTTCTTTTGGGGGAAAAACACAACAAAATGCATTTGACTTCAGTGAGGAAAATGGTTTGGAAAGGGTAAGAATCAAGGCAAGATGATCAATTGAGAGGTAGTTTATTCACTCATTCATTCATTACACAAATATTTTTTTCAGCATTGTATTCACTAGACACTGTTTTAGGTGCTAGAAATGCATCAGTAAACAAGTTCATACTTTCAGTGATCTTACATTTAGTTAACTCTAGTGTGTGTGGGAGCACACCAGGGAACAGCTGTGTAAGGTCATTTAGTCCATGGTAAGAGCTCTGGCTTTTACTCTCAGTGGGATGACAAGCCATCTCAAGGGCAGTGAATGCGGACTGATTTGTTCCAACCTCAATGTTTTAGAAAGCTCGGTCTTTTTACGAGGTGAAGACTGGATCATACGTGAACAACAATGGGAGCAGGAATACCAGTTTGGAGGCTCTTGCAGTGAGGCATGATGTGCTGGAAACTAGAGTGATGACGGTGGGAGAGCTGGTAAAGGTCAGAATCGGGTCAAGCTCTATTTCAAGGTAGGGCTAACTACCCTACTTAGGTTGATGTATGAGAAGAAGAGGCTTGTTGAGGATGACTTCCAGGGTTTTGGCCTGAGTAAGTGGAAAAATAGATTTAGTACTTATTGAGATGGGAAGCGGATTTGAGGTAAGGGAAATCAAGAGTTCAATTTTGGACATATTAAATTTAAGCTGTCTAATAGACTAATAAATGTAGACAGAGTAGGAAATAGGCTATGAGAAGTTGTAATAGTCCTGGCAAAGGTAAAAGAAAGGCCTCAGAGCGGTAGCAGCAGACTGGAGAGAAGTAACAAGATTTCAGAGCTACTTGAAGTAGATAATGACGTAGGTAAAGGAGAAGAAAACATTAAGACGTTTGGTTTCTAGTGCGATCAGCTGAAACGGTGTTGTTTTCCGCTTAGTGAGAAAATCCAGAGGAATGAATGTCTCCCAGTTAGATAGGCACCTTTTGGCAGTCTCTTCTAGGTCTTAGTATCTCAATATTATAGTTTTCTTCAGACCAAACTTATTCCTGGTTCCAAAAAAAATATGTCATCAAACTTTTTCTTTCTTTCTTTTTTTTCTTTTTAGGGTGTGTGTACTTGCCAGGGAGAGACAGAGAGAGGAAAAGTGAGAAATCAACCCCTCTCGGGGAGAGATGGCCACACTGCAGTCTCTTCTCCTACATTCTCTTCCTAGGATTTTGGGCATACTAACACATGTCCCGTGTGGATTTCAAGCCATTGGGTCTGGGACTGAAAAGAAAGTAAATTGTTTCGGCTTTTGTAGCCATATGTCTTTGCTGTGATAGTTCAACTCTGTAGTGTGAAAACAGTCATAGAAAACACATAAGCAACTGATTGTGCTGGTTTCCAGTGACACTACTTCTGGTTTTTGTTTGTTTGTTTGTTTGTTTTGTTTTGTTTTGTTTTTAAGAGAAGTTTTTGCTATAGAGCATGTGTGCTCACATGCTCTGTGAGCAGAAAAGACAGAGCCAGAGAACCAGAAGTGAGAAATCACCCCCCCTCCCTCCCGCCAAGGGGGATGACCATACTGCAATCCTTTCTCTTCCATTCTCCTCTCGGAATTTTGGGCACACACACACACACACATGTGCCTGGTATGAGTTTCAAGCCACTGAGACCATGTGGGAGACCAGTGATATAACCATTACGCCGTCTGCTGGTCCCTTAATTTTTTTTTTTTTAACACCCAGAGGATGAGCACACTCACCAGAGAAAGACGGAAAGACAGAGACAAAGAGAGAGGGAGAAAGCACCCTCCAGTGGAGCAGAGTCATACTATAATCTCTTCACCTCCATGTCTCCATTAGGCATGCACGCCCACTCACCTGGCATATTTTTCAAGCTGCCAGGGCCAATATTCAAACTGCAGTTGGCCATGTGGGATCTGGCTTCCTTAGCCACTAGGCTATGGGGCCAGCCCTTACAATGACACTACTTCTGCAATAGAGTCTCTTTTGGCAGTTTCCTCCTTCCTCTGGACATAGGGTTTTTGACACTGTCAGAGGCAGAGGAGAGAAGAGAAACCACAGTATTTACAACAGCTGCTGACAGGATGCTGGCAACCGTGGAGAGCTGGATCAATTAGCAAGTGGGACCAGTGATGAAGGCCAGCTAAAACAAAGGGAGAGAGAGCAGGGTGTTATCAGAGTGTGGGAAATTCCACTTTTCCTTGATCACTTCTCCTCTGGGTAAATGATTGACCATAGTAGAAAGGCCACATGTGGTGTACCTCTTTTCTCTGCATTGGATTTCTCATAATCACAGGAATAATTTTTGAGGAAAGGATCAGCTGATAAATAAAAACAGGCCAAATATTTTAAATCCAAAAGGAAGATATTTCTGTGCCTGGTGGGCATGTTCCTAGACAAGTATAGATGAAGAATGTTTGCAAAAGAAACTAGAGGCCCTATGCTGAAACCATATATTAAAAAAATATTATATTGGAGGGATGAGCAGTTAGCGTAAATGGCAGTTTGCATCCCGGACCCGGTGGCTTAAACTCACATCGGGCGCGTGTGCGTGCGTGGCCAAGATCCCGAGAGGAGAATGGAGGAGAAGGGATTGCTGTGTGGCCATTCCCCCTGGGGGGTGATTTCTCATTTTCTGTCTCTCTGTCTCTCTCTGTCTTTCTGGTGAGTGCACGCGCCCTATGGCAAAAACCTCTCCAAAAAAAAAAAAAAAAAAAAAAAAAGAAAGAAAGAAAGAAAGAAAAGAAAATATTATATTGGAAAGAAAACAGTCTATCTCTGTTACCACTTGCTCAGTTTCCATTTTGGAAGAATGGGTTTTCTTAAAGTGCAACCCACCTCTAAGGTCTTATTTACTGTCACAATAGTTTAGCATTTTATTTCCAAGAAGAATGGAATATCTGGTACTTAATGCACTGTTGTGATCAGAACGCCTCAAATATAGATTTTTCCTGGTGTATCTGTTCTGGCTTGGCTTTTGTTCCTGCATGGCCTCTCAGAAAAGTGTCTTTGATCTTGGTATCCTTTGTATTCTCTGCAGCTTTTAACTCCATTATACTCTCTACAGATAAATCCCTTTGGGCTTTGAAGTTTTTCTCAGGCCCCCTGTGTGTGATCTTTCAGGTCCTCCAAAACTCTATTAAGAGGTTGCCACAGAACTTGACTCCCTATGTCTGCAGTTTGAAAATGCCTAAACTTCACTAGCTGTGCACCATCCACCCCCTTACTTTGCCACCCTCCACCATAGCTTTTTCAAAGATATTCAAAAAAAGAGTTCATTTAGAATTACATAGAAATTGCATTAGGCATAATTTCTAATAGAACTTATTTCTTTTTTTCTTACCATTTTCAAAAGCCAGCCTGTTTTTACAAGGCATATTAAGTTGTCACCATCAACGTTTAGGATCTTAAGTTTCTAGACAGAAAGTAAAACTCTAGCATGTTTTTTTTTTTAAAGGAAATTTCATTCAATTCCAAATTAGCATGTTTAAAATTTAGTGAGAAAAGCACTGGACTTGCTGTCAGGATGTGTGGGTTTGAATCCCAGCCCAACTTCATAGTTAAGTCTTTTAACCATACCAAGCGCCAGTTGTTTTTTTTTTTTTTCCTAAAAAAGGAGCATCATAATGTTAGATCACATGATAATTATGAAGATTAAATGAGCCAACATTAAAAAAAAAAAACCTTAGTGCATTGTTTGCCATATGGTAGGCGCTAAATAAATCAATGTCAAAATCTACCCACGTCCAAGAAGGAAGTTCCAAATCAAGAAGTGAAAGAACATTATTTGCAATTGGGGAATGAAGGTTAAGATGAAGGGCATTCCTTACATGGTTCTAGGTCCATTTTCTCAGTTCTAGGTTCATTTTCTCATAGTCTCCAGGGCAGCAGTAGCAGCAACACCTGGGAATTTGCTTTAACTACAAAATTCCAGATACACAAATTTAGAAACTGTATGGGCAGATCCAGCAAACTGTGCTTTAACCAAGCCTTTCAGGTGATTCTAATGCTTGCTGGTGATTCTGAAACTTCACTGCTATGCTTCTTATTATGGAAAAATTCTATGTATGTTATTTTATTTCACCTTATATTTAAAAAAAAGGATTTGGGAAAAATTCTGTAGAAAAAATAATTAACTAGGATACCTAAAAACTTACTGAAAGAACTCAGTGTAACATAAGTCAAATGATAAATACTTTCTCCTTGAAGAAAAAAGGTTGTACCTACCAAGTATGTATAACATCTAGTGCATATCTGAAATGTGGAAACAAATGAAGACCACACACATGAAAACCAATAGAAGTTATTTATTCAGAGTATGCTGTATTATAAGCGAGTCAGCCACCATCCTTCGCATTTAGCAAAATCTCAAAGACAAGCAAGGGAGTAGAAAAGTTTCACAGTGAAGCAAGAAAGAAGGGCAGTAGCTTATGTCCCAACTGAAGATTACTGGGACAGGGAAGCAAGAGGTACACTAGTAAGAAGTGGAGTATCTTATAAATTTGGCTTGGGTTTTGTTTGGGGAGCATATCTGGCATTATGTGCTTGGTCTTCTGTTGAAAGTAGGTAGGAAGGGAAAATAAGAAAACTGGTACTCATTGATTAAGACTTAACTATTTGAAGCTAGTTGCTGCAGAGATTGTCACAGTTTTATTATTATTTTTTATCTTTTTCTTTTTTGGGGGAGAGGTTTTTGCTATAGGGCACGTGCGCTCGCCAGACAGACAGAGAGATAGAAAGCAAGAAATCACCCCCCAGAGGAGATGGCCACGCCGCAATCCCTTCTCCTCCATTCTCCTCTCGGAATCTTGGGCACGCACGCACATGCACCTGGCGTGAGTTTAAGCCACCGGGTCCGGGACTCGACCCGCGGTTGACTACGTGGGAGTCCAGCAACATAGCCATTACACTAACTGTTGGTCCCACAGTTTTATTATTATATATGGTCTGGTCATTGAACTGGGAGGAAAAGAATGCATATATTTAAAGAAAATTACATATACTCTTTTTTTTGTGGGGGGATTTAAAGAAAATTACATATACTCTTTTTTTTTGTGGGGGGGGGAGGATTTTTATGGTAGGGCACATGTGCTCACCAGAGAAACAGAGAGACAGAGACAGAAAGCAAGAAATCACCCCCCCCCCGAGGGGATGGGCAAGCTGCAGTCTCTTCTCCATTCTCCTCTCAGGATGTTGGCATACAGTCACTTGTGCCCGACGTGTGTTTCAAGTTGCTGGGTCCAGGACTTGAATCACAGTCAGCCATGTGGCTTCCAGCCCCTCAGCCACTAGGCCATCTGCTGGCCAAAGAAAATTACATATACTCTTAAATGTTTAACCTACATCATTGCTCAAGTTATTTGTTATAGGGGAAATAATTAATATATTATGGACTGTACTGTAATTTCTACTTTAAATTAAATTAAATTATAAATATTATCAATACAAATATAGTTTGAGTTGAACTCTCCTATACAGACTCCAACTATCATAGA